TTCTAGATCTAACTGTTCTTGAATACTTGGTTTTAGATAGAGAGACTTAAAGGTTTTAGGTAGATGGACTTGGTTTTGCACTGGGCTTAAAGTTCTTTGTCCTTAATCTTATTCCATATGAGCAACCAATCCAAGTGGCCGTATCTTGGATCCTGTTTCCCCAAGAATTGTTCACCTCTGAATTCTTAAACTTCAATATCTACCGTTCAGCCACTTATTAAATACTTAGTAATTTATAGTTTTAACTTACTAATGGGTTCAGTAATCGTATTTTTACCCAATTTACAGTAGATAAAAACATTTACCTGTTTAAAAAAATTTTTTTTCACTTTTGATGATGCGAAGAAGTATAATGTAGGTAAACTTCATAGACTATCCAGGAGAAAATCGTAATTCTTGGTGATTGATTTTATCAAAGAAATCCTACCACAACACCCTTTGCTCTTTTTAAGTTACGAATATCTATTTTCTAAAGAAGGATTAAAAGTATGGTAAAAGTTATTGTTTTGGTAGTCAGTCTGAATAACTAGAGTGTGATTTTTCTCACTTACTAGTCAGAGGGAGGAAAATGGTGCTATTAACCAGTAAATTATAACATTACTATAATAGTTTTAAAAATAATTTTACCACTCTTACACCCACTTTTAAGATTATATATTAGCTCCATTTGTTAATGTTAATAACTCTTATTTTTTTCCTTCAGTTTATGGGGCTTTATTAATTGCAGAAAATACCTTTTTAATTAACTTTTATTAAAATACAGCAATTCTCCAAGGAAGACATACAAATGATCAATAGGCACATGAAAAAATGCTCAATATCACTAATTATCAGAGAAATGCAAATCAAAACTACAATGAGGTATCACCTCACACCAGTCAGAATGACCATCATTCAAAAGCCCACAAATGACAAATGCTGGAGAGGCTGTGGAGAAAGGGGAACCCTCCTACACTGCCGGTGGGAATGCAGTTTGGTGCAGCCACTGTGGAAAACAGTATGGAGATTCCTCAAAAGCCTAGGAATAGACTTACCATATGACCCAGGAATCCCACTCCTGGGCATATATCCAGAAGGAACCCTACTTCAAAATGACACCCAATGTTCATAGCAGCACTATTTACAATAGCCAAAACATGGAGACAGCCTAAATGTCCATCAACAGATGACTGGATAAAGAAGCTGTGGTATAGTAATACAATGGAATACTATTCAGCCATAAAAACTGTCAACATGACACCATTTGCAGCAACATGGATGTTCCTGGAGAATGTCATTCTAAGTGAAGTAAGCCAGAAAGAGAAAGAAAAATACCATATGAGATTGCTCATATGTGGAATCTAAAAAAAACCAAAAAACAAAAACAAACAAACAAAGCATAAATACAAAACAGAAACAGACTCACAGACATAGACTACAAACTTGTGGTTGCCAAGGGGGCAGGGAGTGGGAAGGGATAGACAGGATTTCAAAATTGTAGAATAGATAAACAAGATTATACTGTATAGCACAGGGAAATATACACAGAATCTTATGGTAGCTTACAGAGAAAAAAATGTGACAATGAATATATATATGTTCATGTATGACTGAAAAATTGTGCTCTACACTGGAATTTGACACAACATTGTAAAATGATTATAAAGCAATAAAAAATGTTTAAAAATATTTAAAAATTAAAAAAATACAGCGTACATATAGAAAAGTACACAGGTCATAAGTAAACATCAATTTTCATGATGGGAACACACCTGTGTGACCCGCCGTTAGAGTGTGAGGCAGAACTTTACCAGGCTTTCAAAGCCCTCACAGTCCACTTTTAGTCCTGCCCCCATCCCCTCTGCCCACACACACCAAAGACAGAATTTTAAAATCTAGTAAGTGAATATTCATGCATGCTGTCATTTTTTTGTTTCCTCTTTGCTAGTCTTTGAATGTATTTATTCTTTTTCTCTATTTTTAAGTTAAATTTTTGTGTGATTAAAATAACATGTAACATATAGATTTTACAAGTTAGTCGTAATATAAAGCTTATGACAAAATATAGCAATTTCCTGCTTCACCACAACCCCCTCCTCAAGACCCTTCTCCCCAATGGGGAGAGAGCCTTTAATATTTCTTTTGTCATTTGCACACTTCCATATTTCATAACAATAATTATATATGGCTATTTTTTATTAAACAAATTTTAGATATTATCTGTTGGCTTCCTGTTAGGTGGATAAGTACTTAATCCTCATATACCAGCATTTCCACTTTCTTATCTTCCCAATATATTTATATTACAATTTCTGGTTAAGTGAATATTTTCTGTTAACACTCTATGCCTATGCAAGTTATGTTTATAATGGGTATTACAGGATACTGTGATTGAGGGATATCTTTTGGTTTTTATTTTTTATGATGTTAATACTTTTCATGGTTTTCATGTGATTCTCTTTGTGGGTCTCTTTGTTGAAAATCATGATCTCTCCTGCCCTCCTTGTTCTGGCTTTAGCCCTAGCTACAGTCACTCACCCTTGTACTTGCCAAATCCAGCAGAATCTTCCAGTCCTGATCTTTTGTAGATGGACTCTCCTTGCTTTTCTCCTTCTCTGATTTCTGTTACATCACTTCCTGCCACCTTTTCCTAGTGCTTAGAACTCTGTTCAGCTTCCTTCCTCTTAAATGTTGTGTTCCTTAGGACAGTCCTCAGCCTGACCCTTACCCAGCATGTTCCCTTCCCTTTAGGCAGTACCTGCCATGGCCATGAATAACTTCTGTTATCTATTTCTCCATGTAAAACTCTTCTTAGGCCCAGACCCATCACCACTGAATGTCAAATAGGGAGTATAAACACCAGTTTGTTCCTGCCTTCCCTCCTGTTCAAGATCTTATGGTAGAGGACTTTGGTGTCTGCCACACATACAGTTCCCTTCACTCTACCCTGCCCCCCACCCCAACACACAAGCACTCTACCTCCTACCCTTCTGCTGTTCCCTGTATACACCCCCCAGTACACACACACACACACACACACGCACACACTTCACTAGCTTTTCCCCTATCAAACATCAGCACTGCAGCTCTCCATTTTTATTGGCAAGAAGGCCAAAAGATTTCTCATCCCCTGTGACTATGCATCTAGGGTAAAGTGAGGGGTTAGGATGTTGGGCCAACCGTGAGATCCCAGAAAAAGCAAAGAATTTTACCAATTTAGTATGCTTCATCTGTACATGTTAGTAACTCTTTCAATAGACCACTCTTTCAAAGCATGTTAATCCTTGAAATGTTTATAGAATGATTACTCAAAACAGGTAGTGCACATTCATACCGTTTCTCCTGCATTGTGACTTTCAGATTTAAAACTATACATGTTGGATTGTAATATGAATTTACAGGCAGGGATAATTTACCTTGTCCATCAAAAAAGAAAAAAGCACAATTGAATGTTCTCCTACTCATTTTTATCCCTGTGTGTAATTAGGACCATGGGTCTGAGTTCACATTCTCAAAAGTGTTCACGGGCCAGAGGAGCCTCAGTTCCTTGGCTGCATCTCAGGCCTGGATCAGGATACTCTATGGGGAGACAGAGCAAGGTGTCACACTGGTTGCATTTCTCTCAGCAACACTTTCTGAAAGAGGTGTGTTCATTCAGTCTTTGTTTCAGGCATGGGTATTTATTGCGTCAGTCTGTGTTCCAGGCACGATGTTAGATACTGGTGCAGAAGGTGATGAAATGCGGTCCCCTCCCTGAAGTTCAGAATAAGAATAAAGGTGTGGCGCCCTGTCTCTTGGAACCTTGCCACTCAAAATGAGGTCTGTGGACCATCAACATCAGCATCACCTGGGAGCTTGTTGGGAATGCAGAATCTCAGTCTAAGTTGGATCAACACCTCCATCCAGGATTCTGCATTTACAGCAAGCTCGTGGGTGATACCAGTATTGTCGGTCCATGGGCCCTACCGAGTAGCAAGGTCTTAGCACACTGTCTTCGAGCTAGTTCTTAGGTGGATCCTGGTGTCTTTGCTGTCCTCCCATCCCAAGAGTGGATGATTGATGATGCACTTTCTGTGCTTCCAGGAAGCCTTGAGATACACAGCCTAATATAGATATGACAGATGTACCTTGTCATAACACTGTAACTCGAAGTGAGGCTCAACGTAATTCATCTATCAGCATTCAAAGCATCTGGGGTAGAATGTGTAAAGACTAATGAAAGCACGATGGCCAAGAGGTTGCCAAATGGTGAGCGGCTGGGGTAGTTGGAAGGACAGAAGGTACTTTCTGGGAATCCTGCATGCCTACAACACATACATTAGCAGTTTGTCACTCAACAGGAAGGGCCAAGATCTCTTTAAGCAGAATTAGAGTGTTATCCCTGCTGTCCTGGTGGAAAATAACAGCCCGACCTAAAAGAGAGAGCTGGGTTCAAGACTCACTGGGAATGTTGAATCAAGTCAGTTACACGTAGCTGAACCCAGGGAGTGGAGAATCTGGGTTGACACTCAAGTCACTGGCCCTGAGACTACAGGAGGAAGAGGGATCTGGGATCCATGTTTCTCTCTTGGATAGATGGAGTGTGAGGTATTGATGGGACATGCCGGGAAGGTATTAAGGTGCACGACCCTGGGGCTCTGGAGAGGAGTAGGGCTGGAGCTGCGCCGACAGTACTGGGTAGACTTGGTGATGGTGTTTTTGCAGCTGCAGGTGTGGATCAGATCAGTCAGAGAGAGCACTTAGAGTGAGAGGAGAGGAGCATGGGGCGTAGGGCCCTGCGGAAGAAGAGCGTTCCAAGGAGTCGGAAAAGGGACACCAGGAGAGGTGGTCAGCATGCGATTCCAGACTGGTTCAGGATGGCCCGGCTGGTGTGTTGTTTTTAGAAAGTGGAAGGGCGATATTCTTACAGGCCTGACAAGGTTTTCAGTCATCATCCTTGATGATGGTGAGGGCAGCCCTTTGTTTTTTTGATATTGTTTGGTTGTTTCTAGCTTACTAGTTTCTTCTGTGCATTTTTTAAGGTCCTTAAAATTCTGGTCAGGGCAGTGATGGATGGGATGACTGACCGTAGTGGAGATGTCGCAACCAGCCTCAAAGGAAAGCTGCAGGAGTTACTTGGCAGAGTAACTTCAAGAGTGACGAATGATGGAGAGATCTGGAGGCTGTACGCCCAAGTGTATGGAAATGGGCAGAGTGACAAGCCTGATGAAAATGAAAAGGTAAGTCCCTCCTCAGCCCTCCGGGGCTCCTGCCTTGTGTTTGAACCTATGTGTAGTGGATTTGCTCTCTTGATGGTTGGTGGAAGACTGTAATAATCTGAAAGATAAGATTAATACGCTCAAGTTTTCAGTTGTGATTCAGAGTGTTTAACATAAGCTCTCTGAATTGTGGACAGGCTAAGATTTGTAAGCATTCATCTTTTTTTCTTTCTATGAATTTTTCCTATATAGCTGTTCTCTGTTTTTCACAAAAGGGTCTCTTTAACCCACTCTCCATCCAGAGCTGCAGCGAACAGCTGGTTCTTGTTATTCCCTGCACCCCTTTCTGCAGGCTCCTTGCTGAAGACTAAGGTAGGCAGGGTACAAGGACAAAGGAGCGTTTAAATCCGACATGGGGACTCTGAAGGGGAAAAAGAAAAGGGAGCTAGATAAGAATATAGGAGAAGAGCTTTTAAAATCTAAACATAAAATATTTTACAAAGGTTGCCCTGCCCCTTTCTCACAAGCGTGGTGGAAGACCCGTTACCTTCAAGTTATGCCTCTTATCTTAGAGCTTAAAGGCGCCTCCAGACTTTCCAAGGTTGGAATGCTCACTGTTTGTGTTCTTTCTGAAACACCCACAACAAATCAAATGTACTTCTTGTGTGAGTTTGGAATTAGCCACAGTACAGCTAATCTGTGGGATTCTTAGCTGTTCTCTCCGCCCTCAGTCCACCCAGCTGGCTTCCACCAATGCCCTGTCAGCGCAACAGGACACATACTCACGTGCATGCGTGCGCACGCTCCTACTTTCTGTCCTTCCATTGCTTATTGAATTACGTAGTCTCTTGCATATGAGGAATTAAGGGTACTCTGAGTTCTCTGACCCGTGACTTGTCCCCCAGGAATCCACAAGGACAGGGTTGTGAAAGAGAGTGTCTTAAACGTCTGTGAGTTTACATACCTCCCAGTAATTTCAGAGTTTTCACCAAGTTCACACCTGGTTCTCTAAACTGGTCTTTAGACTGATGGCTACAAGTACTCAGGAAATATGTACAATTCTTACAGATTTCCAAACCAAGCGTTTCTGTTTTTCTATTGGGGGGAAGTGTCTCTGTCCAGATCCATCCACTTGATTTCTTTTACTTTCTCACTGCTGTTGGCTTTGCCCCTTGGAGGGGAGTATCAGGGACTGGGCTGCGTATCACAGAGGCTGGCTTTTCAAGTTGGAGTTGGTTCCATATGACTCCCAGGAAACAGAGTCTGAAACGTGGATTCTTCTCATGATTCTGAATGTTGTTCTTTTTCTTTCCTCAGGCGTTCCAGTATCTCTCTAAGGCGTACAAGTGTGACACACAGTGCAGTGGCTGGGAGAAAGATATCACGTCATTTAAGGAAGTGGTTCAGAGAGCCTTAGGACTTGCACATGGTATTTGATGTGATGTTTGATATCCCTAGCATATTTTAATGGATTTTTACTGATAAGAAAAAGTATTAGTCAGAAGCAAAGTTCTATTCCAAGTAACTTCTGATTATTTCATCCTATTGAAATTGTTGTATTTAATTCAGCAAACATTTATAGACCAACTGATATGTAATAGGCACTTTGGAGCAATAAGAAGAAATAGGATAGAGGCTTAAATGCTGTTTGAACAAGTGACAGATGTTAGAAGCTTTAGAGAGATGAAATACCTTTACAGCTGTATCTGACCTTCACTTCACACAGAGTCTGTTTGCACTAATGATGTAGTAGTAAGACAATCTTAACTTCTCTTGACTCATGTTCTTCCTTTTTAAATGAAAATATTTATCCATAAAAATACATAGATTTCTGGGGTACATAGCAATATACATAAGAGCTATGGCATGTACAAGGGAAATTTTTAAAAATACAATCTAATCCATATCTTTGGGAAATTTAGTGGGCAATATTTGAGGGGAGGGATGACCTTACATATAAAGTTGTATGCTGCTGGGTAAATATATTCCAGATAAAGGCAGCTTTTAATTATCAGCATTAATGAAAAGTACACTAGTGAAAGGTAGTAATGCATTTTTATATTTATGTTTGAATGTGGGTGTGTGATGCCCTGAGAAGGCAATGCAAAGAAAGTAATGAAGCCACACTGTCAAGAACGGAATCACAAGGACTGTGAACCTATCCTAAAGTCCACCTCTAAGTCCTGCAACTAATAGTTACAGCAAATAGCGAGCCAGCGAGGGACAAGAAGTCCCTCAAAAGAAGTCACAGAATATTCAGACAATTTAGAAATGGGCTTTGATATCATTGACAAAAGGATATAGATATCCAGTTTCCTGGGCTACCTCCCCCTCAACAGCCAAGGCTGAGGTTAAACTCTGTAGAGCTGAAATTTCGTGTAGAAAAGGTTGAGATAATGGCTGATAGACCGGGAGGGATGGTCTAGGATGGCTGGGATTGTGCTGACCCCGTGGTAGGTGGGCTCAGGTGGAGTTCAGTCTGGATGCCTTTGGTCTTTGTGGATATAGTGCTCTGTGCGGGGAAACCCGTGCTAAGGTATATTATGTACACAGTCATAGCAGGGTGCAATTTAACTTTGAAGAATTTATCTGATCTACTTCAACTTGCCAACCCTAAACATTTCTGTGAACAGCAGGCTCTGTAACAGTCAAAGACAAGGTATTTTCTGTAATCACTAAGTGACAGTTAAGCCTGTCAAATATAAATATGCAGGCTAAAGAAGTACTCTAGGACAAATCTTCATTTTGCATCTTAAAGTTGGTTTTAAACTATTTTGGGTACTGTTTTTCCCCTCATCTGGGCAATACTTGGAGAAAAACAAGTGTCCGTTCTTTTAAGTTTCCCTTCGACTTTAATGAATTATGTGTTCGTGCTGCTACAACATTTTAAGCATATTTGAGTGGATGCTTTCCTTTCCTTTCTAGTGATATTTTAGATTGAGGAAGATGAATCTTAACCTTTTCTGTGTTGCTTTTGTATTCCAGTGCTGTGTCGAAGAAAGAGCTGAGTTTCTCTGTTATTTCTGTTCTCTTTTTTGTCTTTCTCCCCATCACTTTTCTCTGCCTCGCCCAATTCTGGAAAAGGAAATATAACATTAAAAAAAAATCTTGCATGATTGATTCCCTATTGGGTTGCTATTTTTAAGAGTAACCATGTGCTTCAGAAAGCTTGGTAAGACACTGCAGTCTCCACATAGTGTTGGAGAGCCTTCTCTATCAGTGTTGTCATTGTGTACCCATCGTTCTGTCTGGAGGGTATGCATTTACAGTCTCTGCTCTTCTATTTTCTGGGAAAGAGTGGGCAAAAGTTCTTTCTTTCTTTGCCATCCGGAAACTTTTAAAATAACAGTTGTGCATTTTAACTACAGTCTGCCTGGAGGAAGCATGTCTGTCTTGGATTTCCTGATGATTTGAAACAGCAGGTTCTCTCTGTCTCTCTCTAATGCCTTTTGGAAATGGGATTGAGGAATAGGACTCATAGAGCGTGTGTTTGTCTGTTTGCTCTATTTTTTTTGTTTGTTTTTTTGTTTTTCTCTGACGATGAAGGAGTGAAAGCAGACTCACGGCTGTTTCTGACGTGTTACTAGGGACTAAGTAGCCCCAGCACCACAGCTGTGCTAGTCACTACCTTCCTCTGTTAAGGGACACAGACATCGTAATCCTCTCTATCTCCAGGTTACCCGTGCCCTCTGAAAATGAGTGTAACATTGTTGATCACCATGTGTCCTTTCAAGGTCTAATTATTACTTTGGAATAGGAATGTCAAACAGAGTTCTCACCAGCCGTGGATGATGTTAAGGACTGACAAAACTATTTTGCCAGGCACAAGCAACCTCCACCAACAGATTAGAGTTTACATTCAAAAAGAAGTGTGTTTTCGATCCCTGTTCTAAGATACAGGGTACTAAGTAGACTTCAGTTTTTGCGCTGTTTGGTGTAGTTTAAAAATAGGATCTGGTTATTGGTCTGCTTGTAGTGAGCGTAATTTAGAACAACAAAAACAAGAACAAATCAGGGGAGAAATATGAGGCATTATGTTTTTACAAAGTTCTTCACTTGTTCTTAAAAAGCATTAGCAGGCTGGGCCTTCTGCTAGGGAGGGTTATACCTCTTCATAATTCCAAGTTTTAGGAAAATGAGCTCCCCAGAATGCTGGAGGCAGAGTTGTTGGGAACGAGTGACTGACGTCTCCCCCACTCCTTCCTAATGGATGCCAAATGTGGCTCATGACCCTAGAGTCTGGTGGTGGTCATGTTCCCTAAAGGCAGGCACCTAGGTTGTAGATTTCCCTTCTTCCAGAAATGGTGATGTAAACCCTGAGTGTGAAAATGCAGTAAGAATTGAGCTGTAAATATCTGGCATGTCACTTCCTTGGCTGGTGTCATTGGCAATCGAGAGTCCTCATTGGAGACTCAGTCTGAGGGAAGCCATGTTAAGACATGCCGCATCTGTTTTTGCTCTCTTGTGTTCAATTAGGCCTAGTGTCTCTTCGCCTAATTTCATTAGCTTTGTGTGTGTGTGCGTGCACGTGCATGTGTGTCTTCAGAGTCTCTTCCCAACAAGCTGTCACTCACCAAAAATCACCATTTTCCTCAAAATTCTCCTTTTAGCAATAAATGATCCTTCTTGCACATAAATTATGTCCCATATACCAAATGAAAATTTTCCCTGTAGAAATATTTCTGAAGTTTGTTACCATGAAAGCCTAATTAGTTCATTTTTGTCCCTGTAAATTATCATTATCCATTTTTAACAGATGTTTTCCCCATATTTGTCTTTCAGTGGCTATAAAATGCAGTAAAAACAAATCCAATCCCCAAGAGGCTGTACAAGTGCTTTCTTCAGTTCGACTCAGTTTACGGGGCTTGTTATCTAAAGCAAAGGTGAGAGTGAAATGGGAATTAATTAAAATTGTCATAGGAGTAAAATGTCTTTGGTATCAGTCAGCTACTCTTAATTCTTTTACTTGAGGGGTGATTTTAGGCTCATGTTGTATTTTAGATATCCGCCCCCAGGTGATTTGTTGTCCTGGTGAGGGTATCATTGACCCAGTGGCTAAACCACCCTACACATGAGTGACTTAGGAGTCTTTGAAATTAATATTTATAATCCAACTCTTAATGCTCTCTTTAAGTTAAATTAAAACAGTATTATCACTTTTCCCAAAGTGTGCCTTAGATACCACTGGCAGCTCTTGGGTAAACGTTTGATTTTTTTTTTAATTGAAATATAGTCAATTTACAATGTTGTGTTGATTTCTGGTGTACAGCAGATTCAGTTACATACACATACGTATGTCTTCCTCTTCACGTCCTTTTTCACTATAGACTATTACAAGGTATTAAATACAGTTCCTTGTGCTATACAGTAGGACCTTGTTGTTTATCTATTTTATATATAGTAATTAGTATCCACAAATCCCAAATTCCCAATTTATCCCTCCTCAACCCCTTTCCCCCATAACCATATGATTTTAATATATATTTATTTCAGTGCATATCAGAAAAAGTAGAACTAGTACATCAAACCTACAATTTCATGAACGTTATTGCTTATTTTCCATTTAGAGTAGTGTTCTAGTATTTCCTTTAAAAAAGACTTTTATTTAAATAAAAAAATTGATTTAGAGACAAATATTAAGGAGGTGGTATATAGATTTGACAAAAATGGGTGACTCTGGCTTAACATCTAAAATATATTCTGTGAGTTTACAAATACCAGCCTGTGAACCAGTGCTAGGATTGGGACAACCGACAATCACCAAGTAAGCTTTTTTGAAGACTGGACTCCAGGTCTCTACCTGTGACAGATCAGGTCTGGGACGGAGCCTGAGAAATCTGTGGTAAATTTCCCAGCTCACTCTACCATGCAGCCGGGTTTCGAGTATACCTCTGCAAGCAGAATTTAGAAGACTATAACTTCTAGCACAGTTTATACTTTATTTTCTAATCTTTACTTGCCTTCACTTGGGTTGCAAACTAATTTTAAGTCACTTCTGAGAGCAAGTGTGTGGCATGCGAAGGTGGCTTCCGGACATGTGTGAAAGCCTTCCCAGAGTGTGCATTTTTTGTTAATGCCTGATGTTTTCAGATCAGAGAATCATTTTTGCCTCTTTAGATTATTAACTCATTTTTCTGTCCTTATTAATCTGCATGCTGGAACCAGATTTCTTTAATTTACCTAGGGGAACTATATTTCCTCCCATCTGGGCAGTACAACTTCAGAATTACGTGTCTCTCAGAAAGCTGCAAGAGCTCTCTCAAAGAAAGTCAGTGTAGTAAACTTTTTCAGTGATTCTCCTTCCCAAGTTGGGAGCTTAGTTTCCTAGTTTTGGTGAGATCACTAACCTACCCATAATGGTTTATTTCTTCAGGATGTACTCTGCAAGTTTCCCTATCTCTGGACAAAGCTTTTTCTTGTAATGTATTAATTTTACGTGAACCTATACTTATATGACTTAAATAGTCTTACCTATACTGTCCATCCTTTCATATTGTGGGAGAGTCCCCAACGTTGAAAATGAGGCCTCAGAACATCATCTGTGTGTACATTTTGTTCTCATTATATCTCAACTGGATTATCCAAAAATGGGAAAAATTGCTTCTCAACACCTCTTTTGAAAGCACCTTTTTGCATGTAATATTTCGGAATCTCTGATTTTGTAGTAAATCATATACCTGTTCTACTTTCTGAACAAATTGGGTTTGCTGAACAGAACTGCATTCCAAAAGAACACTTTTTTACAACACTTTAAAAGTGAAAATGAATGAAGATAACTGTTAAATAGCAGGCTTGGTTTGCATGAATTGCTCATTTTTTCTTGGCTGGCCCAGGACCTCGTGGAAACAAACTCCTACGTAGAACCTAGAGACTCACCTAAAGTCATGCCGTCCATGCTTGGCCAGGACAGAGTGACTGCTCGGCCCTCAGCACCCTGTCATTGTACAGATTTGCTGCAGGGGAGGCATGAGGGCAATGCATGGGGGATTGCAGATGGAACAGATTTACCACTCACACCCTATGTGAGCCTCAGCAAGTTATTCCATCTTTCTAAGCCTCAGTTTCTCTCTGCTTCCTCCTTACCTTATAGCAAGTGATACAGATTTATGATGATTTGCAATCACTGTAATTCTCTTCTGTGTGTGTGTGTCGGGGTGGTAATTAGGTTTTTATTTACTTATTTATTATTTATTTTAACGGAGGTACTGAGAGTTGAACCCAGGACCTCATGCATGCTATATATGCACTCTACCACCAAGCTGTACTCTCCCTCCCCCCCAGCCCCGTAATTCTTACTAAAAATAAAACATGCTGTGTGAGTCCAGGTTACTTTCCTCAAAGGTGTTTTCTCTACTGATCACATCGCAGCAGTTGGTATGTCAATCTGTGTGAAACGCTGTGCAAGGTGTGGCTACACAGCCGTGTGGCTACACAGCCACGTGACAATGCTTTACAAGATGTTTTTGAAGTTCAGCACTCAGGTGACTATTTTTTGCTCCATGAATCACTATGAGAAACTCTAACCTTAGCCCAGTCATGATGCCATCTCCAAAACATCTTCCAGGTTCCCTCTTTAGAAGATCTGTCAGTATCATCTGTGGTAGTATATAGTCATATTTCAATGGTGAATTTGATTTTTGTGAACAAATCATCTAGTCAGGTCTGATGAAAAAGATATGGTAAGCTGAGTAAATTACAGTTTTGATTAATACACACACACACACACACACACACACGCCATCCTGAAGCTGATTTTCTTGGGCGCCTATTCTGGCTTGGCAGGCAGTTCTTAGAGTGGCATTCCAGAATGTTTCAGCCATGGTGGCATTATAGAAGTGTTTTGCAATATGCCCCCCCCAGCAATTCCTTTTACAGAAGGAGGGAGCTTTTTTTTTAAATTAAAAAAAATGTTATTGAAGTATAGTCAGTTTACAATATTGTGTCAGTTTCTGGTGTACAGCATAGTAGTTCAGTTATACATATACATATATATATTCATTTTCATGTTCTTTTTCATTATAGGTTACTACAAGATATTGCATATAGTTCCCTGTCCTATATAGCTTAAACTAGTTGTTTATCTGTTTTGTACATAGTATCTAGTCATACAGTTTCTAGTTTTATATATAGTATATAGTTAGTGTCTGCAAATCTCAAATTTATTCCTTCCCTCCCCTTCCCACCCACCGGTAACCAGAAGTTTGTTTTCTATGTCTGTGAGTCTATTTCTATTTTGTAAATAAGTTCATTTGTCTTTTTTTTAGATTCCTCATATAAGTGATAGCATATGGTATTTTTCTTTCTCTCTCTGGCTTATTTCGCTTAGAATGATGATCTGCAGGTCCATCCATGTTGCTGCAGATGGCATTATTTTAGTCTTTTTTGTGGCTGAATAGTATTCCATTGTATAAATATTCCACAACTTCTTTATCCAGTCATCTGTCAGTGGACATTTAGGTTGCTTCCATGTCTTGGCTATTGTAAATAATGCTGCTATGAACTTGGGGTGCATGTATCTTTTCAAATTAAAGTTCCCTCTGGATATATGACCAGGAGTGGGATTGCTGGATCGTATGGTAAGTCTATTTTTAGTTTTTTTTGAGGAATCTCCGTACTGTTTTCAATAATGGCTGCACTAAATTACATTCCCACCAACAGTGTAGGAGGGTTCCCTTTTTGGAGGGTGCTTTTATTTTATTTTGCTGAGCTTTTTTGCTTTTACTGAAAATTGATAATCTTTGTGACCTGAGTCCTAAGCCATAATTAATTTTCAAATAATTAGCATAAAGGATATGATTTATATGAATCGGGATATTTGTTTTGCTTATATATACAACAGATAGATTTGGTTTGTTTGGATGAACAACGTCTGTTTATCTAAAAACCATCTTATGACATTGAAACGAATAATCAGTATTCAGGGCAACCATTCTGAAGAACAGAGCTCATTTGAATTTACAAGTTCAGGCATGTTTGATTGTTGCAGCTTATACATTTCCAGGATGGTGAACAGAACAAACACCAGTTGCTACTATAATGTTGTGGTATTATTATGCAAAGGGAATTTTAATTCTATATTCTGTATATTATTTTAAAGGGATTTTCTTTGTTTTGATAGTTCTGCTTTATTCTTTATGTCGCAGCAACTTTTTACAGATATGGTAAGTGGAAAAGTTTCCCAGGAGTTAGCTGATGAAACAGCAGCTATGGATGCCTTAGTAACAGAGCTTCAAGACCTAAGCAACCAGTTTCGCAATCAGTATTGACCATCCTGGGGACAGTTTCTGGAAAAGGTGCTTCACCTTCTGAAATTTCTCTTATACCTGTGTATCTGAAACACAACATATTGATTTTTTTTTAAATAAATTCCTCTTTTATGGCTAACGTTCTTGCTATTGTGATTTTTCCAAATGTTTGAACTTTCTGAAATATGTTAGATAAAACGTTCCTTCCCTCTTTCTTTAGGCTAATTACAGTTGAATTCACTATTTTTATTATTTTTGAAATATTTTAGCACAAAGCGCAAAACAAGTTATACTTTTCAGCATGGGGTTTATTCTCTCTCAGCCTAAAATGAATTAGATCATTCTTTGGAAAAAGTCTAAACAGGAAAAAAAAATCGTACACTACAAGTTTGTGGAATCCTTTGGTTGGCTGATGTATTATCCAAAAAGTGATAAAAGAGCACATTCAGTGATGGAAACCTTTACACTTCTTGAGATTTTGTATTTGCATTAGAAAGATACAGGCTTAGCTGAATTAGAACCGTGGGTATGGTCTAACTTCTAAATAAGAAAATGCATGAAAAAACTGATACAACTCAAATTTTGACTGAGCCATTAGCCACTAGGAACCAGGCTGACCCTCCACATTGTATATACTGCCAGCCCTTAAAGATGGTTGTTTAATAAGGTTGCTCTGAGTGAAGACAGCTATAAATGGTGCCATATTACAAAAATGCCAAAGTAAAATGTTTTCTTAGTAATGTCTGGAAACAAATATTGAAGGCAGCAGCTGAGCTTAATAATCTTACTACAAAAGTCATAGTAAGGAATTTGGTCTTGGCTTGGGTTGCTGAATGTTGGATCCCATGTATAAGTCATTTGACCCTTGCTGTTTTCCATGTTCTTATTTATAAAATGTGAATAATCCTATTCCTTGCTGCTTTGTGAGTTTCTACTGCCTTTGGGAATTTAAAAATACATAATCCACAAATGTAAGTATTCTGAACATTTAAAAATTTTTTAAAAATTTTTCATCAGTGAATTTTGGTTATGAATGCCTGCCAGTGCCTCTTTTCCTCAACCACCTGCTTCTCTTTTCTAGTGTCATACTAGCCTTTAAAAAACAGTTGATGTATGTCTTAGCAGTTTCTCTTACAGAGACAGTAACTATGAGAAAGACCAATAAAATGATATCATAGCATGAGTTAACATTAAATGTCCACTGATATCTTTTATGGAAGCCATTGGGGAATAGGTGGGTAGGTAGATGGATGGATGGGATGGATGGATGGATGGATGGATGGAGGGAGGGAGGGAACGAAGTTTTAAGATTAACTCTTTTATCAGTACCTAGTTGTGAACCCCAGTAGATAACAAACAAATACTGAAAAGAGAAAAGATTTCAGGAATCGAGTAGAAGATTGAAGAAAAATTTCCAAGTTTTAGAAATTTCAAATTCTCAGTTTGTTTTCCTTTGGGCTCAAGGTAGAAGGGCACTGGTGACTATGAGTTGTCACAAACCAAGTCACAAAAGGATTATTCCCTTCCAGTCCTGTTCTCAAATGCTATACTGGACCAAAGTCTCCAGGAAGCTGCCCTACACCTCTGTTTTCTTGAAATGATCTCACAAAAGAGCTATTAGAGGCAGTCTTTTAAATGTCTAGACCTATTAGTTACATTGTGTAATCTTACTTTGGTGAATGTTTAACATAACTGAAGGAAGTGTGTGGGGAGGTACTACAGTAAAGTAGGAAAAGCTTGGGTTTTGTCAAAACCTCGTCTCTACCACCTCCTAACACTTAGTACTTAACACTCTAGTGCTTGATTCTTTCATCTGTAGAATGAGTGTTGTGATAATAGTACCTCCCATCAAATTCTTAGTATCTCTCAAAGCACTTTTACCCAGCTGCAGAGGCAGTAACACAGTATCTGTTAAACAGCTACGTTTCATTTCCCGTAGAGTCTTTGGTGCTTCGTATTGCTATATTATGATTTAAATATTTGCTATTTCCAAATGCCTTATCTTTTATAAATTTCAACTATGGTTTTTTAGTATTAATACATTTGTTTTCAGAATTACTTTTTTGCTTTGTCAACTAGAAAAATATAAAAGATGGTATCCTCTAATCTTTATTGAATTCCCAGAGCGTGAATACTACTACTAATTGCTGCAAGCTGCTGGGCTCTCACCAAGCACCAGGTAGGGTTGTGGTGTCACCAGGAAGCTAACGTTCCCAAGCTCCAGAAAGAGAAACAGTGAGAATTCAAAGACTGCTAAAGCCTGCATTGCTTCTCCTTGCTATGTGGGGACTAGAAAAAGCTTCCAATGGTGAGCTGATTTCAATCTTCTCTTCCTAACAGTCGGACACCTGGGAAGTTTGCCTGTCATTGTTTATAAAGTTTTTCAAGGAGAGAAGTTCTGTGAGGTCTCAGTTAACAATTGTCTATGATCTGTTAAGATGATTTAGGATAATTTTGTCTTAAAATTTTTATGAAGTCTTTGCCTTTTTCCAAAGAAGCAGTATAGTAAACAGGGACCTTAACTGCAGAGGAGTTAAAATAAACCCCAGTGGAATAAGAAATCTCTTCTTTACACCCAAACCCAAAGTTCAGGAAGCTTAGAGAGTTGGCACTGAGTCTGGGAAACAGAGCCATGGGGTGTGTGTTGAGGAGTGGTGAGTAGAGTGGTGAGGTTCAGAACTGCAGAATCCCGGAATGGACTTTGAGGTTCCCACGTAGGGGTGGAGAGCTTGGCCTTACCTCCAATGGAGCCTCCGTACAGTAATGAGGACCCCTAACATTGAAAGCATTGATGTATTTAATTATGTATCAAGGCTATTTTTTCTCTTCATGCTGTGCTTATTTCTGCTGGACATCTCCTAGTGTGCTTTCATAAGCAGAAACGTAAAGAAGTGATACCGAGTATGTGTTGTAAATCCACCTACTTTCCAGACTGTGACGTAAGCAGAGGTCTGGCCAGTTTGGGCTATTTGTGACCATTTCTCCAAATTATGGTAAGTCTGCTAGGTTAAAACCCTGGGTGAGTCTGATGAAAAGTATTCTTTTTCCCCCATTTCTGTTTGTATAACATCCACATTAACCTAAATCACTGTTTAGATAAGGTAACTACTTTACTGGCCAAGAGTGAGGAATAAAACCTGTTAGGTGGATGCAGCACACTTCCTTTCTCCCTGTTCATTCAACAGGCTCTATAGTGAAATGGCAAAGAGCCTTTATTCAAATGGTGGGCGCCATGCTGTGGTGATACAGATGAATTTTTCACAACATGCAGAAGTGCTTATAAATAGATAGGTTTCAATCAACAAGCTTATTCAGGCATGTGCTCAAATATAGTAGCTGCATTCATTAGATAGACATTTCCACTAATCCCAAGACTATGCTAATAAAAGAGTAATCCCTTATGGGCTGAAGGTAGCGCTGGCTTGCTTTTAACTCTTACAGAGTCTTTCACAGACCAAGGTCTAATAATAATTGTAGCTGCATTAGGTTTTCACCACATGGACTATAAAAGCTGAGCTTATCTTGACACTTTTTTCTTTTCTTATTTTTTTAAATTGCAGTTGCTTGGTGGACAAAGAGGTACTTTTTCCTAAGGATATACAGCTCTCAACGAAGCCAATTTAGAAACCAGTTGTGTGTGCGTTTGTGTATGTGTTCTCATGACTTTATTATAAAGCACCTACTTCTTCACCCTGGTTAAGAATGTGGTTAATAAGGAGTTCACTTGAGCAGATTTTGT